TGTGTTTTATCCTATTTTATTAATTTCTATTTTGACTTAACTGTAGAGAATATGATCTATGGGATGAGCGAATCCTTGGAAATTAGTTGAGACTTATTAATGTGATCAGTTTTTGTATTATATGCTCTATATTTGAAAAGAATATGTTTTCTGATTTCTTTGGTACTGTCTTCTATGTATGTCTATTAGATTTAGACTGTCGGTAGGTTCGTTCACTTTATATCCTTGATATTTTTTGCATGCTTGATCCATTTTCGATTACTGAGTGGGAGCTGTTCAGATCTTCAACTATGATAGTTGATTTAATTTATTTCCCCTTGTTTTTCTGTCATTTTTCCTCTTTATGTTTTGAGCCTAAAACTGAGTGTGTATTAGCTTAAAATTGTTTTTTTCCCCCAGTGGATTGAATCATTTGTGATCACTTAGTGTCTTGCTTTGTCTCTAGTAATTTTTTTTAACCATAAAATCTGTTTATGTGATATTAATAGAGCTATACCAGCTTTTGGGTAGAATTAGCCTTTTTTCATTCTTTCACTTTCAAACTTTGGATCTGTAAGCTGTTTAGGTCTGTCTTTTGTAAGTAGAATATTGCTCTTTATGTTATTGTGTTATAAAACTTTTACATCAGCTGACTATGCAGTAGGGAATAGTCTTTTTTCGGGCGGAGGGGGAATGCAACAACTTTATTGAAAGAGAAGTGCAATGAAATTTGTTGAAAGCTTAAACTTAGACATCTCCCCTCAAGCGCAGGAGCAAGTGCAGGGTGGACTGTTTCTGGATGTGGACAGGGTGCGTCCATCTTCCAGCTATTTCCCAGCAAAGATCAACCTCTGCTGACGGGGGGGGGTGCCTTCCTTGTCTTGGATCTTTGCCTTGACATTCTCAGTGGTGTCGCTGGGCTCAACCTCGAGGGTGATGGTCTTGCCAGTCAGGGTCTTCACAGAGCTCTGCATCCCACCTCTGAGACAGAGCACCAGGTGCAGGGTGGACTCCTGGATGTTGTAGTCAGTCAGGGTGCGCCCATCTTCCAGCTGCTTCCCGACAAAGATCAACTTCTGCTGATCGGGGGGATGCCCTCCTTGTTTGGATCTTTGCCTTGACATTCTCAGTGGTGTCGCTGGGCTTGACCTCAAGGGTGATGGTCTTGCCGATGAGGGTGTTTGTGCAACAGAATATCCACATGCAAAAGAGTTAAGTTGGACCCCCTACCTCACATTATATATAAAAATTAATTCAAAGTGTATCTAAATCTATAGAGCTAAAATTATAAACGTTTTAGAAAAAAACATTAGGGTAAATCTTCATAATGTTGGATTTGGCAGTGGTTTTTTAGATACGACATCCAGGGTACAAGCAATCGAAGAAAAAGTGGATTTTATAAATTAATAAATTTTGTTGTGCATCCAAGGACAATATCAAGAAAGTATTAATAAAACGACATTCCACAGAATGAGAGAAAATATTTGCAAATCATGTATCTGATAATGGTCTATATACCCAGAATGTATAAAGAACACTTACAGCTCAGCAACAAAAAGATGACCCAATTAAAACATGGACAAAGAATTTGAATAGACATTTCTTCAAAAGGTGATATACAAATAGCTGGCAAGCACATAAAAATATGCTCGGCACCATTCATTAGAGAAACGTAAATCAAAACCACAAGGAGATTCTATTTCACATCTGCTAGGATGGCTGTAATCAAGAAAGAAAGAAAATAAATGCTGGTGAGGATGTGGAGAAATTAGCACCCTTTTGCATCGCTGGTAGGAATGTAAAATGGTGTAGCTGCTGTGGAAAACAGTTTAGTGTTTCATCAAAAAGTTAAGCATAGAATTAACCATGTTGATGAAGCGGTTCTACTCTTAAGTTTGTATACAAGAGAATTGAAAACGTGTTCAAACAAAAACTTCTATGTGAGTGTTCATAGCAGCACTGTTCACAATATCCAAAAGGTGTAAACAACCCAAATGTTCATCAGCTGATGAATGGACAAATAAAATATGGTATATCTGTACAGTGGAATTAATACATGCTACAATAGGGATGAACCTTGAAAACACGCTAAGTGAAAGAAGCCAGACACAAAAGGCCACATATTACATGTTTCCATTTATGGGAAATATACAGAACAGGCAAATCTACAGACACAGAACGCAGATTAGTAGTTGCCAGAGGATGGGGGGAATGGGGAGTGAGTGACTGCTTAATAGGTAAAGGTAATGAAATGTCCTGGAGCTGGGTAGTGTGGTGATGGTTACACACATTTTGAATGTTGGTGCACCTGCATTGTACGTTTTAAAATGTTAAGATACTGAATTCTATGTTAATGTGAATTTTACCTCAATTTTTTTTTATTTTACATTGGTGATACCTATTTTAACTTAAAGCATGTATATACATACAGACCTGTGTGTGAGTAGGTAATAGGCCTAGATGCATTTTATTTTTTCTTCTACTTTTGTCTTCTCTATCTCCATTTATTAGAAATAGCCTTTATCTTCTGCCACAATTGAGGTGAAGTTTAATGTAGTTAGTCATTGTATGTTCTAGTTAAGTTTTAGCTTAGCCCTTAATTCTCTTCGATGCTGAGATTTCCTACCCTCGGCTTTTTTTTTTTTTTTAATTTTCAACAGGGTCTCTCTCTCTCTCTCTCTTTCTCCCAGACTGGAGTGCCCTGATGTCATCATAGCTCACTGCAACCTCAAACTCCTGGACTCAAGTGATTCCCCTACCTCAGCCTCCTAAGTAGCTGAGAGTACAGGCACATGCCACCATGCCTGGCTAATTTTTTTTTTTTTTAAATTTCAGAATATTATGAGGATACAAATGTTTTGGGCACATGAATTGCTTTTGTACAATTTGAGTCAAAGTGATAAGTGTTTCCATCACCCAGATAGTGTACATTATACCTGTTAGGTGTGATTTTACCCATCTCCTCCTCTCCCCTCCCACCTGCTTGATTTCTGTTGAGTTTTACTTCCCTATGTGCACATGAGTGTTGATCGATTAGTTCCAGTTTAACTTAGAAGAATGGTCTCCAGTTTCATCCAGGTTGTTAGAAAAGGTATGAGTTCACCATTTTTTTATGGCTGAGTAGTACTCCATGGCATACATACACCACATTTTATTAATCCACTCATGGATTGAGTGGGTTGGTTCCACATCTTTGTGATTGTGAATTGTGCTGCAGTAAATGTTTGAGTGCAAGTGTCTTTTTGATAAAATGTCTTTTTTTCCTTTGGGTAAATATGCAATAGTGTGATTGCTAGATTAAATGGTAGGTGTAATTTTAGTTCTTTGAGGTATCTCCATACCGCCTGGCTAATTATTAAAAATTTTTTATGGAGACAAGGCCTCACTGTGTTCAGGCTGGTTTTGAACTCCTGTTGTCAAGCAATCCTCCCACCTTGGCCTCCCAAAAAGCTGTAATTACAGGCTCGAGTCACTACACCTGGCCCCCTGCTGCCATGTCCTTTTTTTAAAAAAAAATCTGGATCTTTTTTTTGTTGGGGGAGGACAGAATCTTGCTCTGTCCTTTGGCCCAGCTAGAGTGCAGCAGAGTTGTCATAGCTCACTGCAACCTCAAACTTCTGGGCTCAAGTGATCCTCCTGCCTCAGCTGCCCAAGTAGCTGGGACTATAGGCATGTGCCACCACACCTGGCTAGTTTTTCTATTTTTTGTAGAGACATGGGTTTTGCTCTTGTCCAGGCTAGTCTCGAATTCCTGACCTCAATGGATCCTCCTGCCTTGGCTTCCTGAAGTGCTAGGATTACAGGTGTGAGCCGCTGCGCCTGGCCAAAAATCTGAATCTTAATTATACTTCATGCCTCCTCTGTAACCATCTTAAGGGTATAAATATGCTGATTTGTATTCAGCGTCCTAGTTCTTAATGTAAAAGATACAAGCCAGACTATTAGCGACTGCTAGTTTATTGTATTTCCCCTCTTTTCTCTTCTAACTTCACCACTGTTTTCCTTTTTATACTATTTCTGGTATATAGTGCTGTTGGCTCATTAAAGTTTCATATTTTCTTAGGTCTGCTTCTAGACATCTTAAACAGTTATTGTAAAAAATTATCTTGTGCTATTTTTAAAGAATAAAGGGAAATGAAATTGAACATCTTTTCAGACTTACAAGTTATAAAGTTATATAGCCTAACTATTTTAACTTCTTGCTGAAATTTCAGAAATGTTAGCAAACTAAAATCATAGCTGATTAACAATATTACATTTCTGGTGTATGTATATATGTACCTTTGGCACTTGGTTCTCAAAGAACATCTAGGTCATTGTATTTCTTTTCAGTTAATGTTAGAAAGGCCTTTTATAGTAATACATTAATAAACTCTCCTCTTTTATTTGTAGGAGCCCCTCAATAGTGAAGACGATGTGAGTGATGAGGAAGGACAGGAACTCTTTGACACAGAAAATGTTGTTGTATGCCAGTATGATAAAGTAAGGACTTTATCCTCATGTTACTGATGTTGTTTCTGTTGTAATTTCTTCCCTATCCTTTCTGCTTTATTGAATTGAGCAGCTGATTAATGCCTCTTGCATTCATTATGAATAGTGTGAAAACATTGTTATAGTTTTGTAGATTATTTTAATAGGATAAAACATTAATTTCTTAGCTTTACATTTAAAAAATAAGTTACAAATGAAATGAAAAGAGACATGATCCTTTTTCTGTTTAGACTGTCTCAACTCTTAAGCAAAGTAAACAAAGCCACTTTGGGGTTGTCCTTTAACAATAATAGCTAACTAAATGGAATAATCCTGTTTTCTGTTTGGCCACAAGTATGTCAAAACCAGAAGGGTTTAATTGAATCTCTATAATTTTTTTTATTACTAAGGAGAGGACTAAGGCAATAAATAGGATTGAAAACTAACAGATAAGTTTTTACTGAAAATTGATTAAAATGTTACTTTATTTTGCTGTACTTTGGTAACATTAGGAATTTTTAAACCAAGTTCTATGAGAATTGGCCGTTGACTTCTTGAATTCTTAATTTTCAAGCAGGCTGTTTTTTCCAAGTATTTTTGTTACGCTTATTGGTGGTGTTGAGATTTTTGATACCAAGACATTTTAATTGGGATCAAATTTTTTTGACTGTAATTGTTAAATTTATAATACATGCACATATTACATGGAATTCATAATTTTAGCAGAAGTCTTTACCAAATGCTGAAAACTCTGACAGAAGCAGTTGAGTTTTGTCTGTAATTATTAATTCAATTTATTCATTTAACAAATATTTCTAAAGTGACTAAGTATGCCAGGCACTATTTTAGGCATT